CTAAATTAATTTATGTAAAAAAATTAATTTTTAAAAATTTGTCAATTTACTCTCTTTTTGCAGCACCAAGCCCATATTATTATTATTATTATCTTTAATTGCATTAAAAGGTTGAATATTATTATTATTGTTATCTTTAATTATATTAAACAGTTGTTGAGTATTATTATTATCATCATCTTTGATTATATTAAAAGCTTAAAAATATAAATATATAAAATAAAATTTATTATTTTTTAAAATAATAAAATAATTACTAGTTAAATAATCACTTTCTTTATAGGTGATGCAGACTGAAATCTTCTATTTGATAAAGCAGTAAACATAGTTTGCTTATAAATTAATGATGAACTACTTTTATCAGATAATTTAATAGAAGATGAATTTTTATCTGATAAAGATTGTTGAAAGTTATTATTGTTAGTTGTATTAATTGTATTACTAGAAGATAATACTGTTCAAAAACTTCTTGTTGAAAATGATGGCTTTTTATTTTTTGAAGGTATTATGTTTTTGTATTTTGGAGACGCAAGAATATCTTTTTTATATGCTTCTTTTAATTTAGCCTTTGGGATAGTTTCTATTATAAAAATATTTAATAATAATATATATTATTATTATTAAAAAAGTTAAAGAGATATATTTACACCAATTTCTATAATATCCTTTAAAAGCTTTTATAAAACAAAATTCTCTACAGAAATAGAAAAGATTAGAAAGTTCAATTTAAACTGAATTATTATAAAATTTTATAAAAAATTTAAAATATTTTTAAATAAAATAAACAAATATATAATAATATTACTTTCTCATTAACTTTTAAACAATTCTTTGTTCTTGTTCTGATATATATTTTTTTTTAACAGCATGCATTTAAGCAATTACAAAGATTTTTTTACAAATATATTAATATTTATAATAATAAATAATAAGTAAATAAATAAATATATAAACATAACTATACCAAACTCTCTCCGCTGATCACTTGTACACAAACAAGCAGAAAACAAAAACAGCGAAAACTCATCCAAGGCTATAGAAAATGACCAACAAGGCCTTAGGAAA